AATTTTGTTAGAAAATATAAATAATGAGCATATCTCTCAAATTTTGTAAATGACGTGTCCATCCTACAACTTCAATGAGTTCAGCTTATCGATTATCTGGCCTCAAACTGGCCGTTATTGCTTATACTCGTGTTTATAGACTGAATAATACACGCGTCGTTTAACTGCACTAGTATCGTTCTGTTGATTTCTCCAATATTTCCTTCTTTTCCAATGCAACAACGTCAAATATTGGATCCCTTAACTTAAGAAAGTCAGAAAGATTGATCATGTAACAAATAAAGGTTGAATTGATATAGATTATATGATGTCGAGTTGATGAAATCACAAGTCATTGTATTGATTCATTGGAAAGTATAATTAATTAGCACAACTCTCAACTTTTGTAAACGGCATGTCCATCTTGCAAATAAAATGAGTTCGACTTATTAGTTCTCAAGGCATGAATGGGTTGTGGTTGCTTAAACTCGTGTTTATAGACAAAACAACACAAGTATCGTTTAACAGAACTAGTAACTTTTCTTGATTTCTTTAATATTTTTGTTCTTTTCCAATGTAACAGTATCAGAAATTGGATTTCCTAATTTAAGAAGGTCAGAAAGGTTGATCATGTGACAAATAACGATTGAATTGACATGGACTATATGATATCGAGTTGGTGAAATTACAAGTCATTGTATTAATTCGTTAGAAAATAAAATTAATGAGTATATCTATCAACTTTTGTAAACTATATGTTTATCTTACAATTTAAATGAGTTCAACTAATTGATTATCGGGGCATGAAAGGGTCGTGGCTGTTTATACTCTTTTTTATGTACAGAAACACATAAATATCATTGCATTATCAGTAACGGCACTTGTGTCATTCCGTTGATTTCTTTAATATCTTGCTTTTTCAAATGCAATGTCCTCAAGCATTGAACCCCCTAACTTAAGAATACCAGAAATGTTGATCATGTGGCAAACAAATATTGAATTGAAATAAATTATATGATATTGAGTTGGCGAACTCACAAGTCATTGTATTGATTCGTTAGAAAATATAATTAAAACACATTTCGTAACTTTTGTAAACGGCATATTAATCTTGCAACTGAAATGAGTTCAACTTATTGGTTTTCAGAGCACAGACGAGTCGTTGATACTTGTACTCGTGTTTATAGATAGCATGGTACGATGGTCATTTTCATTTCAGTATCGGCTCTTGTATCGTTATGTTGATTTTTCCTATATATATATATTTTTTCCAATGCAACGACCTTAAACATTGGATCCCTTAACTTAAGAAAGTCAGGAAAGTTGATCATATGATGAAAAATAGTTGAATTGGCAAAGATTATACGATATCGACATTTTCATCTTAGTAACGGCACAAGTGTCGTTATCATGGAAAAATATATTTACAAACATAACAGTAGTTGTGCCATTCTCATAGACATTCTTATCTCAGTAACGACACAAGTATTGTTCTCATGGACACTTATATTTGCAAACATAACAATACCTATGTCATTATGTTCTCAAAAAAAGCAATTGAGATGTTCTATTATTTTCTCTTATAGTTTGATATGTTTTAAATGTAACGACCTCAAGCAATAGACCCCTTAACGTATATAAGACATAAAGGTTGACCATGTGATAAAGAACGGTTGAAATTACATAGATTATAATGGACACTTATAAGTCAGTAACGACATTTATGATGTTCTCATGGAAATTTTCAACTCGGTAACGATATTTGTGCCATTTTCATGGAAGCTTATAAGTCCTTTAACAACATTTGTTTCATTCTCTTGGACACTTATAATTCATGTAATATCAATTTTGTCATTTCCATGGACGCTTATAAGTCCAATAATGACACTTATGCAGTTTTCTTGATACATAAAATCGTAAAGATACACACTAATATTTAACTAAAGACAAATATGTACAACAGAAAAAATCCCTCTCTTAGAATAAAGTCATCCTACTGATATGCACATTTTCAAATGTAGTCTACAACTTTTTTGCATTGTCCAAAACATCAAAATCCTAGGATTCTAATGAAAAACTTATATACCTTGAAATGGAATAATTTTGAGGTACTGTAAAACACTAATATTAACCTTTGCTCACCCTAGAACCATATAATTACCATTATTTCCACCACCACCACCACCACCACTATACTAATATGTGCTTTCCCCACTCCGATTATAAAAATTTTCTCTTCTGAAATCACGACCACCAAAACACCCACCACCATGCATATTTTTACTTTCGTATGGAGCTTGACTTGCAAATCTAATCAACCAATGGGTACCTCTTGATTGGCTTTCTAGATCAAATCAGTTAGTGACTTCGCTAGTGCTGAATTGTTCTTTGTTAAAGAAAATGTTAGCCAGTCCTGTTTTCCTAGCATGACATGTAAGTCTAATTCGGTATGTATAATCATCAATGTTATTAGAGAGATAAAAGTTGATAACGCGAGAAACTTAAGTAATATCAAGACCACGAGCTACCACATCTGTCGCAACCAAAATCAGTATGTTTCCACTCTCAAACGATCTTAATGCTAGTTTTTTTCCTGAAACAACAACTTAATCAAAATCAAATCATGTAATAATCGATGTTGACGTAATGAAACAACAATAACACAACTATAGAATAAAAGGATTGAATAAAGTCAAGGGGATACACAACCTTTCAAGTTGAGAACTTATATACATTGTTTAGTAGGTTATCAATTCTATAAACAAGGGTATTGTAGTAAAAATAGCGAAACATAGCTGTCGTTTAGTCCTCATTTTTTAAAACTCGTTTTCAATCGTACATTTTATAGGATCCATAACTTTTATTAATTTTTCAACCACGTATTTAATTAACTTTTATCAAAATCTACTAAAAATCTGATTTTTAAATAAACCAAACAGAGGCATATAATAGACAAGGATCCATGTAGCAACACATGCAAAAATTATGTCGACGGCATCAATACTAAGAGTTGTATTGCTCCATAATAATGCCATTTTAAAGAATTTCATTCAATCTGTAACCATGAGAGCACATTATACGATGCATTTTTGTCTAGAAATTCTGAAACCAACAAGTGTAAAGTTCAACAATGGGACTCACAGGAAATCACAAAATACAGTAAAGCATAATATGAAAAATTTTACTAAAAAACATGGAATTACTTAAATGAAATTACCCAGAGTGTAACTCTCTAAGTCCCAAGGAATATATAAGAACAAGCAAATTTACATAGCACAATTTCCATTTATAATAATAAATGAATTCCCTTTTAGCCCATCATCTTCAAGACCCCAAATGTATCAAAAATTCATCCACATTAAAAACACTTAACTAAAACTAAATTAAATACACAAGTAAACTGTGAAATCATAAAAAATGCCCTTTCACACTTTTTTATTCTAATTCTGTACCAATAGAAGCACAAAATCACATTTTAAAATGAAAATAAAAAGTAAAAATTGAAGGAAATAATTGTCTTTTTTTGTTGTACTAGCTCTTACCAAAGAGAGATGAAGTAATGTGAAATAAACTTGAATCAAAGAAAAAGATTTTGGTAATCTTGAAATGTACTGCAAACTAAAGTGAAGAAAACAATGTTAGAATTCAAATTTGGGGAATAGGGTTTCATAGTGAAAATGAAGAAGAAAAAATAAGGTGAAATGAAAGAATTTGGGTGAATATTTTGATATAGATTGAATGGCAACTTTGTCATTTTACCAATTAAAACATTTTAAATTTTTTAATCTTGTTTTAATGTTGGTCAAAGGTCATTTGTCCAAACTCATTGCCCAACAGGCTATTTGGCCAAATTTCCCTAAATTTTATAAATCTCGCATAATAAAAGATAACTTTTAAAAGAAAATAACATTTTATGAAACATCATATCCAAAATGTTACATAAGGTAATACACATGCTGTGATTTGTTATTTCAACTATGGATATCTTTGACTATTGAATTACTCATAATGATATATTTTTCATTTTATTCAAAAATATTTTTTTTTTATCAAAACGTAAATTTATAAAATGCAATATGCAAATGGTAATTTTATCCAATACATGGGGGTATTTAAATTTCCCTATTAAATCATGTCATCTAATGGCTTACTGTTTTTGTACTAAATGTTCGACTCTAAAATACTAATTAATTCAACCACGTATTACTAAATTGTTCGACAATACTGAATTATGTTGCGATTGTCCTATATGAGTAGAAGTGTCAATTTGGCTCGTCAGTTCAGACGGCCCATAGCTTGCACGGGAAAAGTCTGACCAGCGGTCTGACCCAACGACCATGTAGGCCGGCCTATGAAGAGCAATTTTTAAAAAAATGATAATAATTAAATCAAATCATATAGCTGCCTGCTGCTTTGTGTTAAAAAAAAAAAATCACGAGTTTGTCCAGTCGGTCCAAAAGCTCAAGTCGAGCCTATATTTTTTGGCCGAGCAAAAACTCAGCTCAAGTAAAAAAAAAAAAGTCTGAACCATTTTTACTTGAATCAAGTTATAATTTCGAGTTTCGTCTCGCGAACCGGCTCAGCACGTTGATATCCCTATATATAAATCAATCTTTTACAAGCAGATTGATGTCGAAACACTCTATCTAAACCACCGAGTAAATCATGTTGTGGTACTGATAATCGTGATCATCGATACAATATTCACTCATACTCAGATTTTAATGAGGTTCTAGTGGTTGTTGATCATGGGATATGACTGTTAAGTAACCCAAAGTTACCATGCACAATTTTCTTCATTGCTAAAAACAGAAAAAAAAAAAACAAAAACAAAAACAAAAAAAGAGGAGATGTAATAAAAGTGCAGAAGCAGATATATTTATTTTTCTCTATTTTACATGAGCTAATATGCACTTTAACAATAAATACAACATTTCTCACACATTTTATAATTATTCATAACATTATTCATACTATTACGTATTTTTAGCCAGAATAGGCCTAGTATTCTTAGTTGCTGATCACGGATTGATCGGAAATATGACCACCTTTCCGGTGGCTCGGTTTGTTTCCAGATAAGCAAAAGCTTCGTTAACCTTATCGAAAGGGTATGGTCCCTTCGGGTCGAGCACCGGCTTCACCTTCCCACTCTCCAGAAATGGATTTAGTTTCTTCAATATTTCTCCATTTGAAGTTAGCCCAAAGTAAAAAGCGGGTGGTGTTGCTGCACCAGAGATGACTACTACACTGCCGCCTTCCTTCACCGCTCTCAAGGCCCTATCTCCTTGCCCTGCCATTTTTTTTAAACAAAAATGATGGCAGCATTAATTATTAAACCATTATAGACAGTTTTAAGTGACAGAATTCATGAAGAAATATTTAATTCTGAGTCGACAATTATAATATGATCAAAGAACAAGAACTTGGAATATTGCACCAGTCACAAGCAAATCAGAAACACAACAAATAATCCTTATTCCCCAATATGTTTGGGGTCAACATGAATCTTTTTTCACTGTTTCACTGATTAATGTACTGGAGTTGTTATATCTGCTAGAACATTCAATGCAACTCGATGCTTAGCGATGAAAACAAACCACGCCAGTTTTGGTTTACACCTCTCTCATCCTGTCTCTTCTACAAAGATCACGTCACTCTTGAACGGGAGAAAATTAACTTAAAAGAAGAAAAAAAAGGGAATAAAATTCCCATAGCAGCTTCTAGATATTATGCAACTGTCATCGCCCAGTAGTTCATATGACACTGTGAACTGCTATTTTGCTAGGTTTGTTGTGCCATGGCCAAGTACTTGTCGTTAATTTTTCGGGTTGGAATTGCTATCTTATTAGGTTCAGCAAGAATAAGATTCTCAGAACGTTGCCATATGAATGTGGCATACTTACCTCGAACATCATAATCAACTGAGGGCCTTAGTTACATTCTTGCCATAATGTCTACAAAGAAATGTGGACCCAACAAGAAGCTAATAGTTCTAACATGGTTTCTAATTTAGAAACAATTGGGACATTGTCTTACCTACAGCATCATAAACGACATCGAATTTTTCTGGTAGATCTTCAAAGTTCTCCTTGGTGTAGTCAATAGCCAAATCTGCACCCAAGCTTTTCACAAATTCCAGTTTTCTTGTGCTTGAAGTAGCGGCAACTTTTGAACCACCAAACACTTGTTTTGCAAGCTGCATCACCAAAATAAATAGATGGTTGGTGGCATGAGATGCATGCAGATAAACTAAAGTCATAGCTCAGTGGTTTACCTGGATCACAAGGGATCCAACTCCACCAGCACCTCCAAAGACGAGTATGGATTTTCCGGCAGAAAATCCTGCCTTTTCAAGACCTCCATAGGCAGTCTCAATTGCCACAGGGAGACTAGCAACCTGTACAAAATCAAGATTCTTGGGCTTCAGAGCCAGTAATCTTTCTTCAACAGCCGTGTACTCGGCCAATGAACCGAATCGTTTTGGCTGTTCCAGTGAATTTTCGTTTATGTCTCCATATACTTCATCTCCTTCTTTAAGACCTTTTACTTGACTACCAACTTTAACCACCACACCAGCAACATCATAGCCTGGAACAGTCTACAGAAGAAAAAAAAGAGGAATCGAAACAATAAGTTGGAATCTACACTTGTTAGATTCTACAAATTGTCGATTCAACATTTGAAGCAGTATATATAATGCAGTTACAGTGTGAATATACGATTCTAGCTTAGCTTGTCATCACTGCAAGAACCAACGAGAAAATAAGGGATTCCATGCATGTATAAAAACTGTAGAGAAATTAGGGTAAGAGAAAGTTACAGGAGGAGGTGAATCAACAGCTTTAAATTTCCCCAGCCGCCTTTTGAAATCAACAGGGTTAAGTGCCGCTGCCACCACCTTGATCAATACCTGATCATCCTTCACTTCCGGCACGCCAACATCTGACACAAACTTCAACACCTCAAGGCCACCGTACTCGTTGTAAATCCAGGCCTTCATTTTGGATGGTATTGAAGGAGACATTGTTAAGGATTCAGCACGAGCAGCTTATGTATGATAAAATGCATCTGAGAAAATGGGATATACTTATATACACAATGGTTAGATTTTTCAAGATTTTGTTGGGAAAAATGTCTACGGCTGATTGGGTGAAGGAGAGTGGAGGAGTCTCGAACCAGACTGTAATATTGTCCATGTTCATTTTTAATCAACCGTTCATTTAGAAGATTAGATTGTTAGACTTATTTTGTATTAAGGAATAAATTGATTATTTCTCTTGATAAGGATAACATTTTAAGTTGAAACCTCAAATTTTAGTCCATTTTTTATTTAAACAAAAATAAGATTTTTAGTAGATTTTGGTGAAATATGAGATTAAAAAATTGTGGTTTTTATGAAACTAGGTGCAAGCAACGTGCAATGCACGTTTGCCTAGTTTATATTTAATAGTTTTGTTAATAATTAATTTGTTATTAATAAAGATGTAATTTTTTTGGTTAATTAAATAATTAATGATGTAATGTTTATGTAAT